GAACCTTCCCCTTTTGTCTGATGATTCTTCCATGTCTGCCCCTTCTTTTCCTACATCTGAATGCGGCTGCTCCTGGGACACGTGCTTTCCCCTTCGCACCCACCCCAGCCTCACTGCTCTGCAAGCTGCTATCCTTTGTGGCCAGTGACCTCTTGGACATGTCTTCTCAGCCACTCTGTGACCCTGTCAGATGCAAACGGTGTGAAGCCAAGCTTTTGCTCCCACACCCAGCTGGCCTGATGTCCCTGCTTCAGTCACTGTCCCACTCTGACCCATTACACCCACTCAACTCCCCCTGCCCTTACCACACCCGCCTCCTGCATCCCATGATTCCTCCCACTCCTACTGTCATCACAGAAGTGACCACCTTTTCTCCCTTGCTAGCCCACCCCTCACTCCACTGCCAGGTTAGTCTTCTAGAGACACTGTCTTCCCCAGATCAGAAACCACCAAGGGCCCCTTCTACCCTCAGTCCTGGAATTAGTGGGTCTCTCCTGCCCTGCATGTTGTTCCCCCTCAACCTCCACAAATTCTCCTCTCTGGGCAAACTATGTAGCCTCTCCATCTGTCTATGTCCCCTGCCTGCCTGGAGCACCACCCCTCCCCTCTGTCTGCCCAAGCCTCAGAGTCAGCACTCAGAAGCATAGGCTTTGAATCTGTCTCCATTACCCACTAGGTCTGTCACCCCAGGCAATTGACTAACCTCTCTGCCCCCTCAATTTCTCCGTCTGTAAAATGGGGCTGCACCACCTCTCAAGGTAGCTGTGGTGTTTAGGCGAGATGGTGGTTATAAAAGAGAGGCTTCGTGTAAAGCCTGGCCATGCTAAGTGCTCTATAAACAGGAGTCATTGTTGTTACTCTGACCCTTCAAGTCCAGGTTCACGTGCCTCCTCCATCATGAAGCCCTCCCTCATCACCGTAGCCTCTTCCATCCTGACTTCTTGACATCTGCAGGACGTATCATCCTGTCCTGCCCCTCAGAGCTCTGTTAGCTGTGGGGTCTTAGGCAGGTCCCTTGTCTCTTGTTCTTCAGGTCCTTCATCTATAAGTTGAGCAGGCAAATAGTCCCCAGGTCGGGGGTTGTGGTGAGGGTTAATGAATGAATGTGTGTGAAATGCCTGGCACATGAATGAAAATATGTGAAGTGTTGCAGAAATGTTAAGTAGTATTTGTTTCACTGTGGTCCCACGGCATCTCCTCTGCCCGTCCCTCTCGTTGGATGGACCTTAAGTGCCCTGAATCAGCGACCCAGACTCCTCCTTCCCGGTGGCCTCCTACTGCACCTGGTACCCACAGGGCATGGCGGGCGCATGAGCCTCACCTACTGGGCCTTCCCACCTGGCTGCCTGGCAGCAACTGGCACTTCTACTGGCCTCTGAGGGCTTCGAGTGTCCTTTACGGCCAAGATGTCAAAGTCAGGATGGGAATGGGAGTCCCGAGACACACCTCTCATAGGGGCCATGGCCCCTAGAGCCCCCTGCCCCTGCCCGTGAACCCCCTTCTGTTTCTCCTGGGCCTCTGCCCTCTCAGAATCTGCCCCGGGGGGGCTCAGCAGAGCCCCTCTCTCCTGCAGCTAACAGCCTCTCTTCTTCCTGGGCAGCTGCCCCCCCCCACTCGGTGCGGGACCCCAGGGCAGAGTGCAGCTACAAGGAGCCAGAAGGCAGGATTACACGCTGACACGGGCCGGGGGCCAGGGCTGGGTGGTTACCGCCCGAGCCATCGACCAGCACAGGCCGCTGTTTATCTGTCTTCCTGACACACCTAATTACCCAGGTTGCAGCTGCCAGAGCGTTTGCTCTTCTTAAATCACGGGCTCCCGTCTCTCCTCGCCCGGGGCCTCCGGGCCTCTGCCTGCAGAGGGGCTGCCATTGATTTTGCCGTTCCCATTTATGATCTACAAGGCTCTGCATCAGTGTTGCACATTTTACCTTAATTAGTTTATTCTTCTGGGTGTCCCTGGGCAGCTCGGAAGCCAGGAGGTGGAACAGGGGAAGAGGCTAACAGCACATGGCACCCGGACCCATCTGGCCACAAAGCCCAGGGCCTGGCCCAACAGCAGCACCCTAAGACGGCAATTAGCTAAGAACAGTGCTCGTTCCGCAGGGTGCTAGTAGGTGAGCTGCAAAAAGGGGTTCCGTGGCCAGCTGTGTTTGGGACAGGCTGGATTAAAGAAGATTAAGCAGGTAACTTATTGCAGGACTTGTCCAAGTTTTAATAGACTGATGCCTATTGAGAATCTCCCCGGGGCGGGGGTGGGGGGGACGGGTGGAAGGTGTGGTCTTTCCCAAACTCAGATGATCACAAAATCTTTCCTCCAGGCAGCTCACAGAGACCAGGGTTCCATAAAGCACGTTCTGGGAAATGTGTATCTTGGGCGAGCAGGAGGAGTTGGAGGTGAAGTGGCGAACAGAGGGGGACAGAGTCCCCCTAGGCCCATGGGCTTCTCTTGTCTCGCTGAGGGGCAGGAACTCCGCGGCATGAGAAATTTCTCCCGCCAAACGCGGAGGGGCCCATCGAGGGCTGCCGAGCCCCAGCTGCCGGCCGCTGCTTTCTCACACCGGCCCACGCGGTGCTGGAAGTTAACCTCCATATTTCGGCGGGGCTAGACTAGCTGGAGGTCGCATCTAAAGGGGCTCTGGTCAGACAGAGGAGGGCAAGGCTTGCTTGCTGTTGGTGGAGGCTGGAAACCCAGAAGCCTGCAGGGCCATCTTCAGAGGTCCCCCAAGCATCAGGAAGTGATGACAAGGCTGCCCTTGCCTCGGGAATAGCCGTGAGCATGGCAGTCGAGGCCCACAGTCCCTTCTCCGCAGTCCTCAAATCCAAAGCCCTCTGAAAGCCTCAGGTGTTTTGTTTTGTTTTTTTAAGTTTGTGGGAAAATGAATTGATAGCAAAACCTGTCCTGAGCTGACGCAAGCTATTTATAGGCTTTATTTATCCCGCTTAGTGTGAATATTCATATATTTTACTGCAGAAATATTAATGTGTTTAATTACAGGGTGCTGCCCCATCCCTCCTGGGGGTGTTATGTAATAAACGGTGTGTGCACTGTGTTACCTTTCTAAAATGTGGAAGAACAAAATCTAAATTTCTAAATATGTCTGGCCCCCAGGGATTGTGCTGCGGTCTGCGGACTGGGGTGGTACGGGGCCTCCATGGGCGGTTCTGACCCTGGGCCGGGGCTTCAGTGCATTTTATCCTGTAATTCCCACAGCCACATGTAAGGGGAGCCAGTAAGACCCCGAGCTAATGGAAGTCGGCACCTGTGCTTCCATCCAGCCCAGGCTCCTCGGTTGCCCCAGTGGGCTTCCCTCGCCGGCCACAGCAGCTCTGTGCTCACCCCAGCTGCAGCTCCTCAGCCCAAGCCTCCACGTACAAACACCGGCAGGCCTCCTGGATCTGCTTCCTGCTCTGCTCATGAAGGGCCTTTCCCTCCCCCGGACGGGCTTCTGTACCTCCGGGAGGGTCAGGCCGGGCAGGAGGGCTCTGTTCCGGTGCCGGCTCCCTGGTATCTGGCGAGCATCTCAGAGGCCAACTCCAGACCCCACAGACCACACAGCACTCCCTGTGGGTCCCTGTGGTCTTGGAGGTTTCCACAGGAGGCCACTGAGAGAGCAAAGCCTTTCGTCCTCTCCTGGGCAGAGCCACCTGAGGGATCCTTTATAACTGCCCTCTCCTAACACGCTCCCACTCCCACAATCCTTCTCAGCCACTCATTTCACACACTGACTCTACCAGACCCCTTTACGTTCCCTAAAGGACCTACACGAGTGCCCCATCTGTAACATGGGAATGACCACTTCTGTCTACTACCCACCACCTTGAGGGGGCGCTGTGCTACGCCTTTCGTGCACATCATCTCATGTATTCCTCGCAGTAAACTGGATGCAGCTATTACTGTCGTCGCATTTGCAAATAGGAAAACTGAAGCTCAGAGATGCTAAGCAACTTGCCCAAAGTCAACAACTAGCTCCTAAAAGTAGAATCTGGGTAGAACAGAGACCAGGACTGGGGCTTATTTACTCTAAACCCCAAGGTCTTAACCACTGCCCCATGCTGCTCCCTTCACCCTAAGTGGTGACCTCTGCCCTGGGCCAGCCAGAGAGTCAAGTGCAGGGGTCTGTCCTCAGGGCCACTCGTCCCCCAGCTCACCTTCCCGGCTTCCTACAGCTGCTCCCCTGCTGTCCCCCCTGTGTTTCCGATGCCAGTCCTTGAGAGTAGAACATGATCCCTCCTAAAATATGAATGCGCTGGGGCTCACACGAACAAGAAATAAATTAGGGGTGAGTGGAGAGCTCTGCCTAAGTGGTCTTAGAAGGGTTTGAGCCTCCGGCCACCAGAAGTTCTTTGCACTTCCCCCCAAAAAAGCTTAGGCATGAGCGTGCTCTGGGAGGCCACAGAGCCCCTGCAATTACGTGTGGTATGTTGCGTGGTGCCCATATGTGCGACTCTCTGAGCTGGCGGTCCTCAGCCCCCATCCAGTTCTGAAAGGGGTGGAGACTCCTGCCCTCGAGGGCCTCCCAGGGCTGCTCACCCCCTTCACCCCACTTGGATGCCGACCCTACTGCCATCAGGTTCCCCTGGGGGTGGGCGACAGGTCCATCAGAGCTCCACTTCCAGCCCCTTCCTGGATCTGGACTTAGAGCCCCACCCACCAACCAGGACCATTTCTTCTCAGACCCAAATGAGGCCCTGCAATCCTATAGAGAATGTAGGAGGCAGGTCCTGGAGAAAGAGACATTCTGGGTTGAGTTTGGGTGCTGAAATGTTAGCAATCCCCGATCTCCTGTGTGTTGCAGGAGCATGGTGCAGAATGTGAAATCCAGCTGTTGAGGGTCATCTCAGACACACAGTAGCGGTAACACTTCTGTGGTTCCTGAGGCCTGGGCTGGCCATTTTCATAAGCCAATCTATTCTCTCAACTGAAGATACCTGAGCACCCCCCAGACAGAGAGCCTCACCTGCTTGAGTGAGTGCTGTGGGGAGCGCTCCCCTTGCCGCAGATGACATCTCCCTGTGGCCCCGACCACCTGTGGCAGGTGCCCCAAAACATACCTGCACACTGGCCCACCATCCACCAGCCTCCCTTCCTCTTCTCTCCAGGGGTGGCCACGTACACAGACAAGTTGTTCAAGTTCCGCAACAACCGGTGGGAAGACATCCTCAGCGATGAGGTCAACGTGGCCCGTGGTGTGGCCAGCCTCTTTGCCGGGCGCTCCGTGGCCTGTGTGGACAGGACGGTGAGTTCAGGGGTGCACAGGGGGTCTGGGGAGAAGAGGGGGGCACACAGCGATGTGAGAGCCCAGAGGGGAGCCAACAGGCAGATGTGCCCCGACAGAGTGGGGCTGTCCAGGGCAGAGCCCAAAGATGCTCCATCGCGGCAGCTCCCACAGTGCCTTGCACATAGTAGGTGCTAAATACTAACAAGATTCGCAAGGTGAGTTACCATCTACTTTCCCATCCTTTCTCCCTTGAGGCTCTCCCAGCAACCAGCGAGGAAACTGGTCAGGGGCTGTCATCACCGTGTCCATTGGGGAGGAGGGCACCAAGGCCCAGCTTGGGGCAGTGACTTGCCTGAGGACCCAAAATAGATTGGCGATGTGACTAGGACATGACTCAGACTCTTCTAGCTCTAAACCTTGTGCTCATTCATTTAGTCAACCAATATTTATTAAGTGCTTACTATGTGCCAGGCATTGAGCCATAGGGCTCTCCCTGAAAATATTTGTAGAGCGATGAAGGAATGACAAAGAGGTTCGTGAGTGGGTGAGTGGAGGGTGGCCTGAATGTCCAAGTACTCTAGTTAATCAGGAGCTCTGTCACTGCTTTCATGCCTGCTAGCTCCCCCTACCGCACACACGTGCCAACCCCAGCAGGTAGGGAGGAGAGACCAAGGGGGAGGGGCAGGAGTTGTAGCCACCTGCCCTGTGGGGTGGCCCCAGCCCAGGCTTGCGTCCCAGCAGCCCCAGCCGGAGCCAGAGGCCGGCCGTGGAGGTGATTTATCCTTCCTGTCACCTGCTCACCTGCTGCCCCCTCCTTGGCTTTAGAGACAGTCATCAGTAAATCAGGGACCCAGCTGCCGCCTAGCTTCCATTCCGGGGGCAGGGGCAAGGGGCCCTGGCTCATTTCAGGATTGAGATGGCACCAGGGGGATTGGGGATTCAGCGTGAATCTTCACAGCAGGGGCCTCCAGGCCTTGGGAGAAGGCAGGTGCCAGGTATAAATATTTATTTTTTAACAAGCTGGTGCTGAGAAAAGAAGCCAAGCTGGGCTGTGAAGCCACATTTAGCCCTGACCTGAATCTTTGCCACCTGGACTCCTGCCTGGTGGGAGGGAAGGAGGCGACGGTGGCTCTGTGAACGGCCCCAAAGAGTGAGAAGGGTCTGGGTGGGGGGGCAGGCCAGGCCACTGCTGGGAGCCTCCTGCTTCCTGCCTCGCTCCTGCTGAACCAAGGCTTCCCACACTTGGCCAAGGTGGGAATCATCTCTGAGCTGGTGGCAGGGGCCTGAAGGTTAATCACAAAGAGATGCACTCTTTGTCCTAACAAGGTCACCTGCACGCCCATGCGTCTAACCACAGGACAAAGGCACGGTGTGAAATGCAAAAAAAAAAAAAAAAAGCTTTGGCACGCGGCACCGTAGGCAGGCACTTAGCAGCTTGCTCAGCCCCAGCCTCAGGGAACTAGAAACCACCACCAGGAGAGGGGCTGCTTTCTGTGTCCAGCCGCCACCACCCCGGCAATCCCTGGGGCCTGAGAACTGTGGAGGGGAGGAGTAGGGCCAGGTCACGGCCACTCTGGAAACTGGGAGATAGGAATGCAGCGTAGTGGAGGAAACACAAAAGCAATCTTACCAATAATGACAGCTAACCGTAATGAGCTAGCAACACGCCAAGCCCTGCACTCAGTGGTTTATACACATTGTCTTACTGAATCTTCACAATAGGCTTAGGAGGTACCTGCTGTCATTATCCCCATTTTACAGATATGGAAACTAAGGCTTTCAGCAATTAAGCAAGTTGACCTTGGTTACGTAGTTAAATGGCAGGCAAAGCCAGGAATTGAGCCCTGCCTTTCCGAGAACCCGTCAGATGCCTTTCTATCCCACGGCTAGCCTGCCCCTGGGTGAAGCGGTATCAGTCACAAATTTCTAACCACAGGTTCTGTTACAGTGTTCACCCTACTCCTTCCTCAGCCCCACAGCTCCCACCTGGCGCCTTTTAGTCGACCTGTTCCCAAAGTGTGGTCTCCGGACCAGCAGCACTGTCGGAAATGCAGATTCTTAGGCCCGACCCCCACTCCACCCTCCAGACCCACTGAGTCTGAACCCATGGGGCGGGGGAGGGGGGCAGAAGTCTGGGTTTGAGCTCACCCTGCAGGTGACTCTGGCGCAGGCCGCAGTTGGAGAGCCGTCTCGCAGGTAAAGGTCTCAAACCGCAACGCCCCTCCCCTCCGCCGCGTGCCCTCCCCGTCCTCTCCCCAGCGGCCCTCATCCCCTCTTGGCCCCAAGCCGGGCACACTTGCTCGCCCTTTGTCTGCAGCCGCCTCATCACTCACCTACTTTTCTGGATCCAGCTCAAAGCCGATCTCTTACAAGGAGCGTTCCCTGATCGATAATGATTAGGCCTCATGTTTATATAGCATTTTTATCTTTTGGAGACCTTTCACGTGTGTTGTCTCATTTCATCTTCTCAACCACCCTGCCAGGAAGCAGGGGGAATATGATTCTCATTTAACACATGAGAAGATGCAGCCTAAGGGGGTGAAGAACCTGCCCAAGGACAAAGCCACGTAGGGGCAGAACCTGGACTGGGCCCAGCCTAGTATCCCTAAACCAGTGGGCTCTCCAGGTGTGGTTCCTGGCTCAGCAGCATCAGCTTCACCTGGCACCTTGTTCACTCCAGAGCTCCCAAATCAGAAACTCCGGGGATGAGCCCCAGCATTTGCGGTTGAACAGTGCTCCGGGTGTTTCTGATGTAGGCTGACGGAGGAGCCCACTGCCCTGGGGAGCCTCTCCCCAGGCTCATCTCCACAACCACCTCACCATCCCAGAGTGACTATAGTCAAGGCCACATGGCGAATTTCCGAAGTCCTCTGCAATCGTAAACACATCTCTATTTGTCAACTTTTATCATCCCCATACAATGAAGAAAGGAACTAGGTATAATGGAATTTTATAAACATCCTAATTTCCAGCAGAGTGCCTTTCAGTTCATTTGGGCTTAATTGCCCATTTGTTGCGGGGATTGCTAACAGCTGGTAGGGTCAGGCGTGGGCACAGGGATGGCGCACTTTCCCCTCTGGCCCCACTCATTCAGTCTTCGTGCGATCATTCCACACACACATGCCGAGCTCCTGCCATGGGCAGGCGTTGCTCAGAGTTCTCCCCCAGTCACAACGCCGTGCTCTAAAGCCCTGCATCTCGAACTTCGGTTTTGCGTGGGGATCACATGGGGGTCTTGCGAAAATGCAGATTCTGATTCAGCAGGTCTGGCGGAGGGGACAGGGTCACTGAGAGTCTGCATATCTAACCTGCTCCCAGGTGATGCCAGTGCTGCTGACCAAGTAACAAGATTCGGAAAGCATAGTCTCCCAGGTGGCAGGATGGAGCCTCAGATAACCGAAACAGAGGGGGCGTGGACATCTGTAGGGAGTATCCTTGCCTCCTTCTCCAGCTCCAGCCCCTGACACGCCCTGCCTTGCATTTTCTATTCCTGCAACGCTGAACGAACTGCCTGTGGTTTCCCTACATACATCATTCTCTGTATCATCTCTGCCTGGAAGGTTCTTTCCTCTACACTTCACCTGGCTGAGACTCTTCTTAGAAAACCTTTTCTGAACTCCCCCTGGTTCAGTGCTCCTTCCTCGGGGAGCCCCTCTTCTGTACAGGAAATGCTGTACATATTCTCTCTCTCTCTTTTAAAAAATGTTCATTCTAGTAGAGTTCACATTCTTTTAAATTTTATTTCCAGGATCATTAACTTACATATTCTCTTAATCATATATATATATAACTATTATTGTTGCCATGTCTGCATCCCCTCAGGAGACCGTAAGCTCCTTCGTTGGCCTCACCCACCAGTCAGACCCAAGTAGTTCTTCGTCAGCTCCCCCAAAGAAAATGTTCCCATGGAAGGGATAAAGCCAGTGACTGGTGAGGTGGGATGGGGGTTCCGCTTATGGAGCCGTTGGGGAAGAAATGGAAGCCAGCCAAGCAGGCTGAAGGCTGAGAAGAGAGGGTTGCCAGGAACTCAGCTGTTTCTCTCGGGTTGTTTTGCGTTTCTAGCTTGCCTTTAAACGAGAGTATAAGCAACTGGAGAACGAAGACCTTGTCTTAGGGACATTTATAGCAGAGCACGTTGCAGGTAGTTGGAACTCAAGAAATATCTACTATCTGTTTAATTGGAGGGAAATGAAAAGGATGAGAGGAAAGATGGAAAACTGTTCAAATGTAGAAAACAGGTGGCTCTCTGGGGAGAAAGGAAGCATCCACTGAAGAAATGACACGGTTCTAATAACAGGCAGAAAAGAACCGTTCATCAGCGGGGTTTCGGACTAGAGCAGACAACGACGATAGCAACGAGGAGCTGGTACCCAGGGCTTCTCTTGGATGCAAAGGAAAAAAAATATTTGAGACAGTGATACAAAGGCAGAAGCAATATACTATCTCTTTCTGGTAACATGGGAAAACAGAGGGAATGGAAGGAGGACCCCTGCCATATCCGAGCTTCCTGTGCCACCAAAATCGTGGAATGGGGGAATCCAGGGTGGGAGGTGGGGAGAGAGAGATGACTCTGGAATTTGCTTGTCATCTTGGCTGGGGTGAGCTTGAATGGGAGAGAGAGAGAGAGACTGAGAATAATGGGAATTGGTAGATCAATCAATCAGCAAATATTTATTGAGCAGCTACCCTGGCTGGCAGCTGGAGAGAGCTCAGCTGGAGAGAGGCACATTAGAAAATTGTCTATAAAAAGGTGGTTGTGTGGGAGAGGGAGGGATGTGTTCTTCTGGAACAGGATAGAAGGAGAAGCAGGGCTGCTTCGTTGTAGGACTCTGAGGGGCACGGGGTGGGGGGGGTGCCTCGGGGAAAAGCGCTTCTGGAGTTGGGCCGTGCCCAGCATGCAAGGCCCTGCACACCAGACCCAGGGAGAGGAACCTGACCCACGGAAGACCTATGGTCCTACACGAGGAGGGGGAGAGCCACTTTCTGGGAAGGAGACCACGACGAGTGCAGAGGGGCCTGCTCACCCACCCTCCTTCCCTTCCTCCTCAGGGCTCCGGACGCTACTCTATCTATATCGCCAATTATGCCTACGGTAACGTGGGCCCTGATGCCCTCATTGAAATGGACCCCGAGGCCAGTGACCTCTCCCAGGGCATTCTGGCTCTCAGAGATGTGGCTGCTGAGGCTGGGGTCAGCAAATACACAGGTAGGCAGAGTGACGCGGGGTGGCAGGCTGGGGTGCTGTGGGTTGGAAGGGCGGGAGGCCTGGGGCTGGGGGCTGGGCCCTGGGCCCTACAAGGCTGCATCTGGTTCATCAGAGACCACAGGAGAGGGTGGGCTTGTGTCCCTGGGGAAGGGAGGATGAAGGCTTTATTCCATCCCATCACCCAGAGGCAGCTTCTCCAACACTTGTCTCTCCAGGGGTTGGTGGGCTATCTGGCAGGCGTGGGCTTTGGGGGACCCCACGGGGGATGTGGGACATAGGATGAGAACACTGTAACATCATCCACTCCCTGGAACCTCTTGCCCCATTCCCTGCTGTAACCCAAACGATGGGTGAACAGGTTCTGTAGGAGAAAACTGACAAATCACAAAGGCCAAGAGTTAAAGCGTTCTTTATTGCCAAACAGCAGATGAAATTATTTACTTATACATAAGCGGCCAGGAATTGAGTGCTAAATCCCTAAGCTTCAGCTGGGTCCCGTCTCGGATAACTGAGCTCAAAGAATTGTGTTCTTGTTCCAAAACCTCTCCAGCCCCTTTTTTTGAAGACATGCTCCCCCCCACACCTCTCTGGATGGGGGACCTATTGTCAGAGTCTCTGACAGGGAGATCTTTCTAGGGAAGGCTGTTTTTCTAATTCTAGCACGGCTGCTGACTAAACTCTGATAATCTGCCAATAGACTGCTGATGGCAGAGCAATCCAGTTCCTGTTTGGGGTGCCAAAAATCAGGAAGCCGGAGCTATGCACAACAACGTCTCACATGAACTTCGGCCTCCCTCACCCTGATCCTCTCATATGGACATAGAGATCCTCTTGCTGGTTGACCTTCCCGATAATATCCATCCCAACTTGCACTACAGACTTCCAAAAGGGAAGCCCACCCAAATCCAAATCCTGGGGCTCCGAAGGATGCTTGATGGGGGTCATTTGGGCCATTGCCCTGCCTCCATACACCTGGGGGGTAGCACACTCTCAAAGCCCTACCTAGAAAGGGTTGTTGCAGCCTCTCCTGAGTTTATGATGCCTTTCTCTAGCAACTTTCCACCTCGGCGAAACAGGGAGATGGATGTTGACCTGTCTGACAAAGTTTGTGGGAACAAACGGCTAGACAGTAAAATAGTTTGCACAGCTCCAGCCCCATCAAAGTGCTCAAGAGCCCCACACGTGAACGTGCAGCCTTTCTGGCTGAGTGTCAGTAATAAACCAGGCTTTCCTGGGAAAAGGAATAAACATGCAGGAGCTTCAGCCTAGATTTGTACAGTCAATTTTTCTGAATAGTTCCCAGTTCTGTGCATTGGGCTGGCCTGGCAATTAAGTGCCTTGATCTGCAGGAGAAGGAGTGTGGGCTGGGGAGATGAAGCACTTGAAAATGATGAGCTGGAGGGAGGTGAGGTCTGGGAGAGAGGCTTCTACACAGAATAAAAGAATTCAGGAGGTTGCGGCTGGGTCCGAGCATGAAGGGGACATTGTTCACGCTGGCTGGGTTGGTGCATGGGCTAGCAGGAAACCAGGAGGGGGCAGGAGGGGACCAAGAGGAGACAGCTGAGGAGGACGGATGGGGATGGGAGTAGTAGCCAACTGCGCCAGGCTGTGCTGGAAGGACCGGGAAGCTCAGGGAAGGGCCAGCAGTTTCTGCGGAGCATGCAGGAGGGCCGGGGCAGCTGGTATGTCCAGAGGACACGGGAGAGCAGCTCTGCAGACTTCCAAAAGCCATTTGGCTGACAAGAACTTATCTGGCCCACCAAGTTACTATTGTGTCTGCCCGTCTTCCCCAGCCCACCCTTTCCTTGCCCGCCAAGCCCCTCAACTCTACCCTGCGGCCCCCGTTGTCACTTCATTAATGACACACGGACATCTGGCTAGAAAACTAGCCCAAAGCACCCCCCCGACGCCCCAGGGACAGACCCCAAATGGAAGGGCCGCCACTGGAGCCCGGCCTGATTGCTGAGTCTCTGGCACATGGGGCCTGGAGAAGGAGAGGGAAGCAGGCAGTGATGAGCAGGGGCCTGAGCAGGCCCTGGGGGGAAGCCAGCCATGACCAGATGTGCAGTCAGGGAGCCAGAGGTCCCTAGAGCCCAGCCACACAACACCCAGCTGCTGGACAGACCTTGGAGAACCTCTTGTTTTCCAAAAGAACAAACCGAAGTCCAGAGAGAAGGGGCTTGCCCAAGGTCACAGAGAAGGTTTGTCGAGAAACTAGCACCCAGAGCCCTGACCCCCGAAGCTTAACCGGCCACAACCCGCTGACCTTTCTGATGACCTCCAGTTTGAGCATCCCAGCTCCAGCCTGCAAAACAGGAGGGGCTGGTGAAGGAGGAAGGCCCTGCACCCACCAGGATGCAGTCCCAGGGATTGGCACTCAGGGGCTTGATTTTGACCCCCAGTTTTCGTGGCCCGAGCAGCTGCTTGGCCTAGGCTGTGCCGGGCAGCAGGGGGAGGCCCAGGCAAGCTGCCGGCAGGCGGGCCAAAGGCGCTGCCGGCTCTCCCGAGGGGGAGGGGAGGCCTTCTCTCCGGACTCGAGCGGGTCCACGGTTGGCCGCCGCTCCGCTAGGTCACAGTGCCATCTAGCGGCCAGCATGCCCACTCTCAGGGGACCGGAGGGCTGCGGGCTGACAGAGGGGCTCCTGCTGAGTTGAGGGAGGCAAGCCCACTCCCCCATGGTTCCTGGTTCAAGGAGAATCCCAAGCCCTGACTTTCCCAGATGCCTGCAGCCCTTCAGAGCCTGGACGGTGCAAGGAATCCTGAGAATCAGTTGTCCATGTGGCCGAGGGCCTGGCATGGAACCCAAGGAGAGGGAAGGTAAGGACCAAGAAGTCTGCACTGGCCTCTGCAGCCCTGGGTGACCTTGGGCACCTCCCCCAGCCTCTCTGAGCACCTTGAACTCGTGGTCTCAACTACTGTCTTGCAGAGCTGCTGAGAGGACAGGATCAGTGCTGGTGCAGATCCTGCCTCAGCCACCTCTCCTGTCCAGGCAGTGATTAGCAATTTATTAACCTCATGGGCCTCAGTTTTCTCGCCTGCAGTGGGAGCATGAGAGTGAAAGGAGGTATAGGACATGCCTGGCACAGGCCCGGCTCAGGGATGCGACCCTTGGAGTATAGGAGACAGAGACACTCTCCTCATCTGAGGTGCCCAGGGGGATGCCAGGGCCGTCGGCTGGGCATTTCCCGGGTGCTGGGTACAGGAGGAAGCACAGAGCAGGCCCAGCTAGCCCTGCCCTGGAGGCGGTCTCCGTGGGTCCCCCTGCCCACCCTCCAGCCCTGGGTATAGTCACAGGCGTCTTCACGCCCCTCTCCACTGGAATCCGTTGGTTTTCCCTCTTCACCCTGCCTCCCCACCCCCGCCGGCCTCTACCCCGTCCCCAGGAGCTCTGCATTTCAGAAAGCCTCACCTTTTGAGGGAGCATCTGTCTGGGTTGCAAGGTGGTGATTAAAGAAATTTGGAAAGAAAATGAAGGTGGATTTATGATATAGGGTGGGGATTTTTGCTGTTGGCTGGGAGCAGTGTAGAACAAAGCGGAGGGCAGATCTGATTTATAGGAAGTCATTATTGGAGGAGAAGGAGAAGCCTAACACCCAGCTGAGGCCTTCTGGCGGCTCCCCATCAGCCCACTCCAGAGAGGTGACCGTGGGCAGCAGAGTGGGGGCCACGGAGCCCCCCAGGCTGGCAGGTGGCCACTGCCTTGCAGCAGGAGCACAGCGGATGTGACAAGCAGAGCTAGAGTGACAGGCTCTCCACCAGGGCCCGGGACCCTCAGGGAGTGCAGCCACAGGCCTGCCAGGGTCCCCAATGCCCCAGGACATGTGCGGTGTCAATGCACTGGATGATTGACAAGAAAAGACAATTTTTTTTTCTTTCACAACAAACACAAATACTCTTATAATAGAAATGTGATCTTGGTGCAGTTTCTTCTGCTAAAATAAGAGATTTTAAAGAAAGATCAAGCCTGTGGCTGGCCACTCCGGGCCTTACCAGGAGTCCAGCTCCCTCTCCTGCTGAGAGGCAGCTTGTGTAGGAGGGCTTGAGAGCACGCTGGGGGGGGGCTTTCACAGGCTCTGGGGTCACTCAGATGTGGGTTTGAACTGCGATCCGCAGCCTGCTGGCTGCAATCGTACCTCCTTGAGCCTCAATTTCCTCACCTGGAAACTGGTGCAGTGGGATGAGACGCGAACGACACCTAGGACAGGGGACTGGAAAACAGGTGGCCAGAGGAGCCGGTCCTGCTACCCCTTTCCCTGCCCGCTCTCCTCAAAGAGCTTCTTCAGACCCCTGCCCGTTCTCCCGCCCCCCGCCCCCTCAGCGTCCTACAGGGAGGGGGCTGCAAGCATTGAGGGAGGAGTGGAATGTCCGTATCTAATACCCTCCACCCCGTGCGCTCGGAACCCTACTGGGTACCTGGACGGCTCACAGAGGGCTCGTGAGTAGCAGCACCAGCACCAACGCAGTGTTATTCTATGTTTGAATGTTCGGGAAATTTAGGCTGAAAGACCCTGTTACCATCCTGCCCTGACCCTCACTCCCTGTTCTCTCACACACACACACACACACACACTGCCCATTCCTCCACCCCTATGTTTTCCAGCATCTTTGCTATCCTTCTACAATTTCTTGGATGCTCTTGGCAGCCTGTGGGCCTTGGCATCCACAAGAATTGTATTCTATTGAGGTCTCAGTAGATTAATCCCACGGGTCCAGAGTCTTGGGCCAAAGGGCCTCACAAAGCCTCTACTGGTGTGGGCTCCAGAAGGACCCGGGATTCTACTCCCAGCCACACTTATCCCAAGTTTCAGCCTGGAGGATGCACTGGAAGAGTGGGAAGGAGCCTTGGAGATCTCATTCCCCTCCCCATTTTATGGGGAGGGTGACCAGGGCCTGGAGAGCACACAGCTCAAGTTCCTGGAACAGGAGCAGGTGCAGAGGCCAAGCAAGGACCTAGAGGATTTTCCTTAGCATGGCAAATACCCCTGCCTCATCGTGCCTGGGTCCGGCCCACAACAGCAAGCCCCCCTTATTCCACGCAGCCTCGCTTTCCCATCATCACCCCACCACCTCCGGCTCCCAGATACAATCTGGCCTGTCGGCAGACCACCCCAAGACTGCCTGCATGCAATCTGAGAAATGGATTGCCTATACCCAAACTGCACTTGAGTCTGCATCGCCAGGATGCAGGATTACAGAGGTTTAGGGGTGCAGTGCTTGAGGGTAAATGAGGCTACCCCGTGGGTCTCAGGACCACGGGGCAGATAATCAGAGGGGGTGCCCGAATGTGGTGGGAGGACGAAGGGCATTGGGGAGGCGTTTTCCCCTGCAACTCTAGCTCTCCCACCCAGCTTCGTGGGCAGAGTGAGAAGCCTTCAGGAGGGGTTGGGTAGGGCGTGGCATTTGCACCCAACAGCAGAACAAAGAGGCCTTAGAAGCCTGAAAGTGCTGGGGAAATAAGGGGATTTTATTCACCTAGCAGGTGGGAAATTGTCCCAGCTAATGATGATGTGGCACCTGACATTTTCCAAAGTACCTTCCGAAAACCAGCTCACTTAATATTTATGACAGCCTGAGAAGAAGCTATTTACTATCAGCCTCACGTTAGCGGTGAGAAAACAGATACCCAGAAGGGTTCGGTGATGTGCCCAAGGTCACACGCACACTTTCCAGGGCTGCGTCTCCAGCCCCAGCTGGGGAGCTGCTTGTCCCCAAGAGGATGTGCCCACCTCACATACAGAAGAAGTAATTGATGTAAAGTAGAACTTAACTCACTATTGGGACATCATCCTCCAAGGCAGAAATAAAGTTGTTCCTAATGGCTCCTGGGGTGGCCCCGGAAGATGTGCGCTAAACCTCAGGAGGGAGAAGAGTTGGGAGAGGGGAGAATGTCCAGGTCGAAGATACTGAATCAGGAACCTCTGTCGTGGACCACACAGGATGGATGGATTTTATTGGTTTGGAGAAGATTTACATGATCCACCTGGGAGTAGAGTTTCCTCCGCAGCTCAGCAAGGGGTGCAGACACCCGGCCGCCCCTGCCTCAGACCCGAGTTCGGCTCTCCATCCTGAGGCTGCTGGGGCCAGTGCCCAAGAGGCTGGCTCCCTGTCAACTCACCTGCTCCCCAACTGTGCGGCGAGCTTGCCAAGAAGGAGTTGTGGGTAACATCTCTGTTATGGTCCGGTCGCCATGGCAATAAATTGTCACTAATTAGTAGTGTGGTTACCATGGCAATTTTCTAATAATTACAGGTTACAAATGGTACAAGGCTTCAACCCAACCCAATTAGTTAATTAGAGAGATTTAGAAATTTGTCCAAGAGGGAAATAACCTGCTTTGTAGAAAATGAAGAGAATGTGTCACAGCTTGAGAGCCAGAAGCAGAGAGGAAATTGGAGGACACTGGAGTGGGGAGGATGGACGGAGTTGCATGGTGGCAAGTCCCAGAGCCCCACCTGGCATTTCCGGGGGCCCGGGCAAGGCCCGGGGTTTCTCACTGAAGCCTGGCCCTGGGCTGGAATCTGGCAGGACGGGGGCAGGGCCAGCTGCCCGCTCTGGGGCTCCTCTCTGAATGTGCAGACGTGGTTCCCAGGTTACAGCCCAGCAGCCCTCCCCACTGGCCTTAGGAAAGGCGTCCGAAAGCCTCCCTGCCCCGCACTCTGGCTCTCCTAATGAAAAACGCACGCCACATCTTAGATGATGCTCCCCAGGAGCCCTGTGGATTTGGTGACTCCATTTTCAAGAGGCTTGGGCTCTCCTGGAGAGCTAATTAGATTACCTGGGAGGAATATGAGAGGCACAGGGCCCAGAGTGTGTTCATTTGGAGCTCAACCATGAGAGTGAGGAGAGTGGCAATGCCATTGGACCCATCCCCTCCTCCTGGGCCCCAACACCGGACCTGTTGGGCAGGCTGCAGTGCACATGTGAGAAAGGCCCCATGATTTCCTCCAGGGACGTCTCTCAGAGGGCAGGAGGAGTCCGCTGACCAAGAGAACCTCCATCCGGCATTAGCACAGTTTATGGAAACCTCTTCCCCATCCAGAGCCAGGCAGGCAGGCAGGTGGGGGGAGGGCAGGGGGGAGGTCTGGCCCAACATCTCTCAGGTCTGCCTGAGCTCTCGCTTATTTAACAAATAACAACACTAAGTTGTTCTGAATTCTCTGATCACTATTCTTATTGTACTGAATAGCCCGTTAGAGCCTCACCTTTCAAACTTGACTGTGTACGTAGCCACCCAGGGGTCCTGCTAGAATGCAGGTCCTGACTGGTGGGGGGGTGGGGGGGGCGGGGGCTGAGATTCTGCCTTTCTAACAAGGCGGCACCTTTGCGGCGAGCCCGTGGACCTCACTCTGAGTAACAAGGTGGTAGGATTCACAAAGCCCTTTCACGTGTCTCACTTCATGTGATCCTCATAAAAATCCTAAAATAGAAAAGGCAGGTCATGCTACCCTCATTTTACAGAGGAGGACGCTGAGGCTCAAAGGGTACCATAAATTGTCCCAGGTCACAGAGCTTGTAAACAGCCGCTCTGGGACTAGAATCCACATCCCCGTCCTGGCCAGGTTGTCTTCTGCCCAGTATTCCCAGTGACTGGGGCTTCCGGGCTTGATTTGAAACCCAGTCGTTGGGGCTGTTTGTTCAAGATGTCTTCATATTGGACTTGTTGACACGGGTAGCTCAAATTTGATCTTGGAGACATCAAACCCTAATGTCGAGCTGGCTTGATTTCTTTCTTTTTTAAAAAGTATGCAGTTATTGGATTTTTTTCCTTTCCAACTACAGAAGCAATTCTGTTGCAACAAGCCAAAAACACAAAGACGTTCCCAAAAAAGGCGAACTCCCGTCTCTCCTTCCCTCCCCAGATCCCACCCCATCTGGTAGCCGGGGTTAACAACACAGGGCGTGGCCTTTCCCACTTTCCCCCAAACTCAACAACAAGTTTGCACAAACACATCCAGAAATATCATGTATTTTTCTTTTTTTTTTTTTAATAAAACTAAGATGACACCATACCATTACTTGGTGAATTGTATTTTCATTTAACAGTATGTCGTGGGCACCCCTGCAAGTCAATACGTACGGATCTACACAGTCTTTTCAGCAGCTACAGAACGGTCCGTCCAATGGGTGCAGCACAGCCCATTCAACCAGTCGTTGATGGACTTATAGGCTGTTCCCAGTTGCTTTACTATGTCAAGCAAACCCAAGAAAGCAGCCTGTAGCCTTAGCCGGAACCCAGTCCTCCATGTTCTTAGGACAGGAGCACACCCAGTGTCTTGACTCCGGGTGGGGGTGGGGGTTGTCAGGAAAATCTGTGACTTGATCAAATGGGTAGATATGGGCTGGGGATCGTTGTGAGTCAGCCTCCGAAGGGAAGGAAAGGATCTGTAGGGTGGCCTCTGTGTTCTATAGGTCATGGGATCATGGCTTGGGCACAAAGTGACTCTGTCTTGCCCCTCCCTTGCCTCATCATTGGTGTGGTCATCCTCCACACAAGTTTACAGGACTGTGAGCCCAGATCTGGGCTCAGAGAAGCATCCAGAAGGTTGGAATCTCCCCCGTCCCCAAAGCTCTTCTGAGGAATCACCACAGCGCTTCTCAAAGGCCTCAGAGGTACCCCCGTCCTCCTCGCGGGCCGGAGGCTTTGCTTCTGCCACTCACTGTGGGTCACTGTCCTGTCCTAGGGGGCCGGGGTGTCAGCGTGGGCCCCATCCTCAGCAGCAGTGCCTCAGACATCTTCTGTGACAACGAGAATGGGCCCAACTTCCTCTTCCACAACCAGGGTGATGGCACCTTCGTGGATGCGGCTGCCGGCGCTGGTGAGTGCAGCCACTGTTCCGTGTCCCTCAGCGCCCCAGACCCTCCCGGGCCTCTGGGTGCCCCGCCCCCTCCAGCATGGCCCCACGGGCCTCAGGGAGACTGGGACCGGTAATCACACGCACCATGCAGGGAGACATTCCTCGTCACCTTCAATTCCACAACCCACAAGCCTCAGGCCCCGGGGGCGGCGCTGCTGGGGAAAGGGGGAGCCTCGAACTCCTGACCAGTATGCATTTTCCAGCAACTAGATTTGGCCCACGTTCCTCTGAGTCCTGCTTGAGTCTTCAGCATTAATTTCCCCTCCAAGCTGCCTCTTTCCAGTTCCCCTCCCCACATTCACCTTAATCATTGAATTCAATCCAGTAACCATTTAATGAGCCCCTGCTAAGTGCCAGGTGGTGCTAAGAGCTGGGGATGCTGACCCTAATAAGGCTGTACCACCCTACCCTACCTGACACACATACACACACAGGCATGGACATTCTAGAGTGGAAAACAGATGAATAAACAAGTAGCCAAGTAGGAAAGAGACTAAAATCCACACAAAATAGTACTTCAGGCCCCTAGCTCTGCTCCCCTTCCTCCCTTTGTGCTCATCCCTCATCTGCCTCAGGACCTTTGCACCTGCCATTCTCGCTGCCTAAAAGTGCCTTCTCCCTTTTCTCTATCTGCAGAAATTCTATTTGTCCTTCAACACTCAGCTCTATGAAGTCTTTCTTGCCTCCCTCTGTGCTACCTGGCAGAGATTCGCGCTCTCTCCTCTGCATTCACCCTGCCCTTGCATGTACTTCTCAATCAGGCTTCTACGTCGATAAAATAATCTATGTCTACAAGGACTGGGTGCTGTACTCTTCATTCTTGACACAACACTTGGCACACAGTGGTCACCCAGTAAATTTTGCTGGATGGCAGAAAGGACACCTAATGAAAGTTTGTGGATGTAATCAGTCCGCCCTTCAACCACTTCTCCCCACCCACTTCCTCCCCACCTTGCCAATGAAAGGATTGGTTTCGCCCCTTTCTGGGCAGCATAGAGGCGAGTTCTAGCCTCCAGATGAAGAGGTGAGCGGGGATTAGACAGGGGATCAAAGGTCCTACAAGGTCCGGCTAGTGCTGACAGCTAGCATCAAGTCCCTGAGCGTCTGCCAAACCATCGGCTGTGACTTACAAGTACCTAATCCCCCGCTCACTGCTCAGGAGCGCCCACTCTGAGCACCGCCCCTCCACTCGTAGCCAGTCAACTCCCCCTCATGCCTTGCCCTCTTCTCCTTCCTGGGCAAAGCTAGAGCTGGAGGCCGCTCCCCTGGCCTGTCCTCCCACCTGGCATGCATGCGCACACACGGTCACACACGCACCCCGCCCCCACGGTGCTATATCCTCTGGCAGCAAGTTTTCTCATTGCTGAAAAATCATAAAATGAAGGGGAGGTGGTGGTGGAGAAAACTTAGAGGAATTGATAAGGTGTTAAAGAGATGGGAGCAGAGGTGAGCCAACAAGTTGGAGTGGGAGAAGGTATCTGGCGGGAGGAGAGAGGAAAGGTGCTAGGCCCGTAATTGAAAGTCAGAATGACTGCAGGGGTTTAACAAGACATGTCAAGAGGGCATTCATCACCCAAACAGATGCTGCTGTGAAAGGCAGCCTGGCACCGATTATTCCCGTGAAAGGGAACGAGCTCCTTGTCAAGGTGCCTCGTAGACAGCAGAGAGATGGGCCAGCATCGAAGACCACCGACATTAGGGCTGGGGAGTTTTGTAGAGAATTAATGGGGTATTAATCCTAAAGGTTAGAGGTTTCCCCCGCTCCTTGGCAAAGCCTCTTCTTCAAGCCTAGGGCTCACTGTCTCTTCTCCCTGCACCTCGCACCCATCGTCCAGATCCTTTACTCCCCCAAGAGGGTACTCAGCCTCCAAGTTCTCAGGGGGCCCCACCCCCACCTTCCCCTGGCTCCCACCCCCAGGAGCTCTGTGGTTGCAACTGGCAAGAGCTCTCTGGGCCCTGGACTCTGTGATCCCCCCTCCATTATATTGTCCTATCGCCCACCATCTCTGAGGGCCTGATGACCAACGGCAGTTTGTCCTCCGAAAGAGTCAGCATGGGTGTTGAGAACCAGCATCCACCACCTCTCAACTCCACGCTTGGCCTGATGGAACATACCTGCCTTGGGCAGCGAGGAGGTCAGGCCATCCCTCTGGGCAAAGCCAGCCCCTGTCCTCCCCCAGGATCGGCTCAGTGGGCACTGGCAGATGCAGGGACAGCAGAAGCAGGCGACACTGGACACACAAGCTTCTCTTCCCTGAGCTCCCAAGGCACGCTATGGGTTTCTGTGTTATGATGTGACATTTCCTCTGCTGTCACCAACGTCCCCGGGTGCCTTCTGTCAAATTATTTGTGTCTCTTCATTCATTCAGCAAGTATTTACTGAAAACTACCAGGTCAGATGCTGCGTGAACACGGGTGAACAAGAAGACGGCCCCTGACCTCATGGAGTGTAAGGTCTAGTGGGGAAACCGGACGCTAAGCAAGTAAACCACAAAGGAACATAATGGCCCCTGTGATCAGCACAGTGGAGGGAAAGAATGAGAGGCTGTCAGGACAAATAACAAATAGCTGTGAGGAACTGTTTTCATGGGAGTGGTCAGGGAAGGCTTCCCTGAGGAGGTGACATAGTAGCTAAGAGCAAAAGAAAACCAAGGAGCCAGGTAACCAAGGGCACGGGGAAGAGCATTCCAGGAACAGCAACAAGCTTGAGCAAAGGCCCAGAGGCCAGGAAGAGCAGGGCTCCTTTGAGGAATGACAGGAACACAGGTAGCCAGAGCTTACGAGTAAGGGGGGAAGGGGAGGGGTACCAGATAAGGTGGGCAGGGGCCTTGTGCTCCCCAGGCAGGAATTTGAACTTGACACAACAATACTGGGGAGCCACCGAGAGATTTAAGCATAAGAGTGGTGACCAACTTACTGTACCCCAGTGGCAGTGTTGGGGTGGCTGGAGAGGCCTTTGGTCCTCCAGAATTTCCATGTCTCCGTCCCCTACCCATGCTACCCCCAAAACTGAGTGAAAATCGTGTGCTTGCTGGGCAGATGCAGCTGAAGGCAAGTCTGGTTCCCTTTGCAACCACCTCCTGCCTCCACGGAGAAATTGTGACCCAGCAGCCGCGGCTCCCCAGCTCCCCGTCTGCTCCCGGGGAGGGCAGGGTCGGCACAAGGGTCACCCTCCCTGTCGCTCTCCAAGGAGCTCCAGCAAGGTGAGCATTCGTAGAGCCTGCAGGGGGCGCTGGCCTGAGGGTCCCTGTCTTTCCTCCCCAGGAGTGGACGACCCCCACCAGCACGGGCGAGGTGTTGCCCTGGCTGACTTCAACCGCGATGGCAAAGTGGACATCGTCTATGGCAACTGGAACGGCCCCCACCGGCTCTACCTGCAGATGAGCGCCCATGGGAAGGTCCGCTTTCGGGTAAGAAGGCACCTCTCCCTCCTGCCCCCCCAGCACTGCGAGTGGCCCTGGCATGTCCTGGGGATGCAGCCTTGCCTGCGCCTCCCACCAGGCTGAGAAGGGGCTTGTGGCTCCGCAGAGCCTGGAGGCAGGACAGCCGCAGTGAAGGTAACATCTGGGGGACGAGGATGGACTCCAGCCCGGGCTTCTCTCCTGTCTCTAGTGCCCAAGGCAGAGACAGCCACTGGCAGACGGGGGACAGCAGCTTCCCACGGTGGGCGAGAACAGGGCAGTGAAGGCTCTGGGCTTCATTCCTGGATTGGCAGCGTTTTTCCAGGTGGCTCCTGGAAAACCTGATCTTTTCAAGTTTAAGTTCTGGCTAAGGGTGCAGTGGGGAAGAGAGGGATGGGGGAGGGGGAGGCTACAGAGCTCCCAACAGCTGCCCCCAAGGAAAAATGGCAGGTGGTGGACAAGATGACCTCCAGCCTCTCTCTGTGCCCCCTCCCTGAGCTGTCAGTAGACTGCAGTGCCAAGAATTCTTCAAAGGGGCTGTTGGGTGACAGGAATAGAGGTGCCACCCCCCTGATGAGCTGGAGTTTGGGGCTTTCTCAGGCAGCTCTCATAGGATGGTTGAAACTGATCTCAGCAAGTCTGGATGGTTCTGGAGGTACCTAGGTCTCGCCAAAATCCCCTGCAGCAGTGAGAATTTACCTGTTGCTTGATGGTCCCAGGGGAGTCTCTGGGAACCTTCTGTCTGGGTCACCACCACAAGCTTCCTCCCTTGTAGGCAGCCACCTGGGGAGGCTCAGGCCCAGCTGCTCCCTCCCTTGAGACCCGGGCTCTCTGGGTGAGAAGGAGGCGTGCTCTGAACTCAGGCAGTTGATGCTGGGATCCTGAATGATTTTCATCCTTATTCAGTTTTTTTGTTATTTTTTAAGATTTATTTATTTTAGAGAGAGAGCGCACACGCACACACACGAGTTGGGGGAGGAGCAGGGGGACAGAATCCTCAAGCAGACTCCCTACTGAGCGTGGAGCCAGACGCGGAGCTCAACGTGGGGCTCAATCCTATGATTGAGCCAAAACCAAGAGTCGGACACTCAACCAACTGAGCCACCCAGGCGCCCCCAGCTTTTTGTCCTAACTCAGGTTCTCAACCAGGGGTGATTTTCTCCCCAGGACATTTGACAGTGTCTGGGGACATTCTTGGTTGTCACAAATGGGAGAGGGGTACGACTGGCATCTAGTGGGTAGAGGCCAGGGATGCTGCTAAATGTCCTATAAAGCACAGACAGTCCCCCCAGCAAGGAATGATCCAGGCCCAGACATCAGTGTGCTGTGCTTGAGGAGCACGGCCAAGCCTTCTGGTGGCCCCTCCCCAGAGCTCAGAGGAGCAGTAATAATGATAATAGATGCCCCATTTATCGGGCGCCTTCCACGTGCCAGGAACTGTGCTAAGCGCTTTACATACACCATCTCAGAAGCCCAGGCGTCCAGTGGGGCAACCCCAAGGGAGCTATGTAGGTTTCCATTTTTATAGGATCAATAGAATAATAATGAGTTAGAGATCCTGAGGTCTCTTTTCCTCCAGCTCTGAAGGCCTGCTCAGCACACCCTGGCCAAATGGCCAGGCTCTTAATCAGCCTCATTACTGCACTGATGGGGATAACCTCCCTCCTGGCCTCCCCAGAACAGGCAGCTCATCAGCTCTCCCAGTTGGCTCATTCCTGCAGCTGATGGAGGGGGGCCTGCGGTGAGAGGCCAAGGAGCAGGCCAGGGGGCAGAGGGCGCTCCCAGAAACACTAACTGTCCCTTCCCAACCCTTTCCATGGGGGGGCCCTGAGAGTTAGAGAGGCTGCTAGAATCTTTAAGGGACAAAACCATCTGTGATGGATATTCTTGTAGTCAAAAGGTTGCTCTCCACACCTCTTCTTCTATTTCAAAGGAAGTCCCACACCTGGGGTCAGCACTTTGAGTGTCAGCTGGGCTCTCCTGGGCCTAGGGACTCCCCATGAACCCTGGATAGGTGCATCTGATACTGCAAACCCCCAAAGCATGTGTCTCCAAAAAATCGAAAAACTCCCAAGAAAAAACACAAGATAACAGCAAAAACATAGCTGGAAGCCACCTCTGCTGCCTTCCAGAGGACCGACAGCGTGACCAAGGCCAGGACAGATGCCAGGGACCTAGTTAATGCTCAGGGCTTGCCAAGCATTTTACATGCAGTGCCCACAGCCTGAGCCACTATTCTTAGCCCCGTGTAACTGATGGAGAGAGTGAGATCTGAGAGGTTAATAACTTGCCTAAGATCACACAGCTAGTCAGCAGAGAAGCCTGGATTCAAATGCACAGCACTTTCCAGTGTCCCCCACCCCCGACCCCCCACTTCTGACTCTCCTGCAGAGGAGGAAGGACATAGCATCTTGAGTCAAAAGCCCCGGCTACCAGCCCATCATTAGCTATGAGCATGCGCGATTCCCCTCCCTCCCCCAGGACCTGATCACCTCACCTGCAGAATGGGAATGTTAATGTCTGCCCTGCCTCGAGTGCCTGGTGAGAGGGCTGTGTGTGACCCTGACCAGGGAACAGCCAGGTGCTCCGCTGGTGTGAACTGGGACTGTCCCTCTCACCTCCTTGTCCTCCTCCAAGCAGCCCGAGGTCCGTGTGGTCTTGGTGCAGCCACCGCAGGTCCCTTCCAGGGGAGGTGAGAGGGGAGGTGTTAGGTCGGCTGTCTCTTCTCTTGGATTGCAACCCCCAAACACCTCTGTCTGCTGACCTGCACCATCTCCCCCGCCAGGACATCGCCTCGCCCAAGTTCTCCATGCCGTCCCCGGTCCGCACAGTCATCGCCGCCGACTTTGACAATGACCAGGAGCTGGAGATCTTCTTCAACAACTTCGCCCACCGCAGCTCCTCAGCCAACCGCCTCTTCCGGTAGGTGCTTCAGCCTGGCCAGTGGCCTCTCGCTGTCGCGGGCTGGGAGTCAGGGAGGAAGGTATAGGACTCAGAGGGGTGTTCCCAGGGCTGAAGTGCAGGAAGGTCCCCTGATGAAGGAACAGACAGGAGGGAAGGAGGGATTGAGCAAGAGGCTGTGGAGAGGAGGGCAGATCCTGGGCAGGAAGCCGGCCTCCTGCTGTTGTGGGGGGAATGGGCAGAGGGACATGGCCCAAAGTGTGCCCAGAAGCCAAGCTCTGCAGGAGAGAAATCCATACTACCACAAAAAGGAGTTACAGAGTCAAATTTGTTTAGGTGCACCTGGGGTAAGCAAAGACAGGCAGGTTTACTGGCTGCAGGACTTCTCAGGGCCTTTAACATGACCATGAGCGTTTTTACTTTCTGAAAGGTAGATGGAGTATTCCAAATAGATTTAACCACAGCACACCTCTTTCAAAGATTTTCCCCTTGGGACTGGTGCTCTGCAAAACATCCCTTGGGAAATGCTGGATGAGACAATTAATGGTAGACAAGGAAAAGGGAGTGACAGAATGGAAGGAATATGCAAGCATCTGCATCTGGGGAGGAAAGGTTGGATGTTCAAAGGCAATACTTCTCTAAGAGGGGTCCATTGGCATCAGAATCACCCGAAGTACTTATTTAAAGTACAGAATCCCAGGGCCCACCCAGATCTCCTAAATCAGAATCTCCAGGGGTGAGGCCCAGGAATCTCTATTTTTAACAAGTGCACTGGGCATCAGGTGTTTCTTATCACACTAAAGTTTGAGAACTGCTGTTGGGGAACCTCAGGATCCATGTGGCCTAAGACAACCCTTTTCCTGGCCTAAAACATGCTCCTGGGCCTCAGGAGTCAGTGGGGAGAGAAGGCAGGTAGAGCAGGGGGCCTTGGATTCAGGAAATGGGCCCCATCACCTGCTCGGCTCCCCGGGGCCCCCATCCCTTACCCCAGGGGGGGCCCAACTATTAATAAAAGGCAAGAGCTGTGACTAAGCATGTTTTAAAATATAATTATTAACAAAGCATCAATCCTGACTGGATGTAATCACCCCCCGAAGGCACTAATTAGGTGCCTTGCAAAAAGCTTATTCACAACTTCCAGATTAATTGCGGAAGATCAATTGCTCGTTAACAGAGACACTGCTTTCCTTCTCTGGCTAATAAAGTGTCACTCGCCAGGGCCCCTGAGCACGAGGGAGCCTAGTGCTCTGGTCGCTGTGGCCCGAGAACCCAGGCACCTCCCCCGTCCGCCTGCCCACCTGGCTCTGTCACACCACCCAGCCTCCCTCTGGCCACCCCAAGGGCGGGCTGGCCCGGGGCTGCCATGGACGAGGACAGGGTCACCCCATAGTGGCCCCACGGGTTAGTGTCTTTGCCTCCACGCAGCAGCAGTGCGAGCCAAGTCCCAGTGGCAGATGGCTGCGTCCCGAGCACACGGCCCCGACTGTGAGGGGCTACAGCAGGGGCCGCTGCCTCGCTGGCCACTCTGCACGGTTGGCCCCAGCCTGTCCCTGTTGCTGAATGGAACTTGGCAGGCTCCTTGCAGGAGGTACTGGGGACTCAGAGCCTCCGTGTGCTTGAGCCTGCGATCTTTCAGTGAAGAGTAGGGTAACCAGGGAATTCGTCCCCAAACCAGATGCTTAGTCCTGTTAATGATGGCGGGACAGCAGGCAAACAGGGACTCTCCCAGGCCAGCCGGGATAGGGACGGTCACACCCCTGACACTGAAACATGCCTCCGATCTCTTCTCCCCTCCTCACCCCTATGCCGCTCCTCGATCCTCGTCCCTGGCTCTGAAGGGGATTCCTGCAGCTGCCTTCAGCAGGTGTCCCCGGCTAGTCCTGCAGAGCAAGCTGTTTGAAAATGCAAATCTGGCCACACCCCTCGTCCACTTGAAACCTTTCGGAAGCCCCCCACTGCCTTCTCCTGGACTCATCCCACACCTCCCGCTTTGTCCCCAGCCTGGCCACTCTCCATTTCCCCGTTTACAGCTGAGCTCCAGACACCACCAGCTTTGTTCGGTTCCGGGCTGTACCAGGCCTGGAACCTCAGGCTGCCCACCCCCTCTGTCCCTTGCCCCTCCCTCTTCACCTGAGTGGCTCATACTCATCCTTCGGGTCTCAGCTTAGTTGGCCCTTCCTCCAGGAAGCCGGGGTGAGCTTGCCCAGCTCCGCCCTCCCCGCAGCCCCTCTCCCTGTTGGCCTTCGGAGCTCTGCCTGAGACTCCCTGTTGTCATGGGCCCTGAGCCCCGTCCCTCCGGATGCGAAGCACAGCCACAGGCCCCCAGGCCGTGACGGCACACGGAAGTCACTGCGGAAGAACTCGTTCGGCAGTATGGCAATACCTCGATGCAGTGGAACTGCCGGGCTTTATCCTTAGGAACCCTTAATTGCACCGTCACCTGGACCAAGGGATGCCTCTGCCCAGCTGCGGCAGAGTCTGTGGGACGCCAGGGGTCAAAGGGACGGCGGTTGTTGGCAGGCTGAGGCACACACACCTCTAGCAGGTGTGTACACGCCCAAGGGCACCCAGGCGCGCCGCCCTCCGCCCCGAGCACGCACACGGGTGTGCTCAGCACCGCGGCCCCAGGCCCACAGAGCGTTCTCCCGGGGCCGCGGCTCAGCGCCGCAGAGCCCCCGCCCTTGCGGCCGCACTCTGCCCTCCGGCCACCACAGGTTCCAGTTCTGGGGACCCCCGGACCCTCCTGAAGTCCCTGGCCACATCTCAGCCCGCTGGTGACTCTCTGTGACCTGGGCAGGCAAGAGCTGCCTGCAGTGTCGCGGGGAGAGTGAGATCCCTTCCAGCCCCCCGTCTCCCCCAGCATTGCTCCTCACACCCAGGCCAGAGCACCCGAGGCTGTGAGAATCTAATGAATGAGAAAAATCGGAGGAAAGCTCACCCTCACCAGCAGCATTCAGCTCAGTGTGGAGAAAGAGCAGGACATTCACAGTGGGCTTTTCCGAAGCAAAGATTACCGTGATTCAGAGCTTAAAATAGACAGAGCTCCTGCAGCCCAAAGGGACCCCTTTCTGCCCTTTCTGCTGCTGGACTTCATCCACGCTTCCCACAGACATGAGCTCGGAGCTTCCAGTGAGCCGCGCACTGTGCTAGGTGCTGTGGGAAATGCGCGAATGAGTAACACGTGGTCCCGGCGTGCAAAGAGCCCCCAGTCTAACTGGGGAGACAAGATGCATTCATTCAGAGCTTTAACACAAGGCAGAAAGTGATAAAGGCTGAGCAGTAAAGCACTGCTTCCAGCCCGACGATCAGGGAGGGCTTGGAGGAGGTGGCATCTGAGTGGTTTGAATCCTGGGTACACCCAGAACTCAGAAGCCCAGGGCCACTTGAAGGAAAGGGAAGGTCAGCTGAAGGTAGCTGTGTCCCTGCCCCTTCTCCATCCATCAACTGCCCTTCCCCAGGCTGTCTATAATTCATCCATTAGAGAAAGAAAAATCAATATTTACCAACATAAATTAAAACCCAAGAAGGGGACAGGCAGGGTGTAGGCAGGCTCTGTGAGCAGAGTGGCTTCCGTAGGCATCCAGGTGGTGGCCGATGCACAGTGGGGCCCGGGGCTGCTTGGAGGACAGAGACTGGAGCAAGTGGGCCTCTGGGTTCAGGGGGCCCGTGGGGGCCTCGCCAGCATGTTACTCATCCGGGAACGACCTGTCTCCTCTCCTCCAGTGTCATCCGCAGGGAACATGGCGACCCCCTCATCGAGGAGCTCAATCCTGGCGATGCCTTGGAGCCTGAGGGCCGGGGCACAGGTGAGGGCACCTGGGGGCTCAGGCCCGCACTCCTCCCTCTCAGCTCTGCCCATGCGCAGGATGAGGGCAAGAGGGATGGGGTAGCCAGCTCCACAGCGCGGGACCCCTTCTTCCCTGCCGCATTGAAGGCTAACACTCTAGGGCTGGGTGAGCCTCTGGGAGCCCCAGGCGGGTGCAGAGGAGCTGATGATCCATGCAGGGCTCTGGAAACCGGTGGGCGGTAGCTTCTCTGGCACCAGAAGGGGATGGAAAGGAGAGGCTGAGGGTCCGGCGGTCTGACCCCACCCCTCTTGGCATTCAGCCTGGTGTCAGAGAAAGAGCACTGATCGGGAGTCCCAAGCCCCAGTCCTGCTATTGCCTCACTTGTGGTCTTGGAAGAGTTGCTTCATCTTGTGGGTCTTGTTCTGCACATGCACAGAAGGGATAACGACATCTGCCCTCCTCACCTCTCTGTGTTGTAGTGAGGATCGAAAGGAGACCATGAATGTGCAAACATGACATATTGACAAAAACCGCAAAGGCAAAGGGCATGTGTAATAGATCAGGAAGAAGTCCTCATGCTCTAAGCGATTGGCACCCACTCTCTCGGTACAAAAGTTCAGGAAAAGGAAGGAGAGCCCCCCTTCATGATTTCCTATCATGAGCAGGCTGTGGGAAAGCAGAGGAGAGGGGCTTCCCCGCTGGCTTCCTGGCCCAGTGCTGTGCTCTCGGGGCGCCCCCCGGGGGGGCACATGCACCACAACAGGGCAGTGGTTGGGAGCCCCTCTCTCTCTTGAATCTCCTGGCCGATGGCCAGAGTGAAATCTGCGTTGTTGCAGGGGGCGTGGTGACAGACTTCGATGGAGACGGGATGCTGGACCTCATCTTGTCCCACGGAGAGTCCATGGCTCAGCCGCTGTCTGTCTTCCGGGGGAACCAGGTGTGCATGGACCCCCGGGACCTGTGGAACCCGGCCCCGTGTGCTCCCCTGGGTCTAAGGTGGACGAGGGCAGAGGCGCCAGGGATGTTTGCTTGCCCAGCGTGGTGGGAAGTGGAAGCCCAGGGAATAAATCGCAGCCGTACAGTAAGCCTCCAAGAAGGGCGGCCTCGTGGGAGGAGCCTTGCCCTTCTGCCTTCCACTGGCACTTCTGCTCCCAAAACTGTTTTTCCTGAGTCTACGGGCTTTTCCCTCCTTTTCCCAGGGCCTCTCTTTCCAAACTTCAGCCCGTGCATCTGCCTCGTTCCCTCTGCCCCTTTTCTGCTCTTCCTCGTCCTCCCTCCCTGCTCCTCCTACCCCCACCCCATACTCACCCGCCTTCCTCCCTCCCTGCAGGGCTTCAGCAACAACTGGCTGCGCGTGGTGCCTCGGACCCAGTTCGGGGCCTTCGCCAGGGGAGCTAAGGTCGTGCTCTACACCAGGAAGAGCGGGGCCCACCTGAGGATTATCGATGGGGGTTCAGGCTACCTGTGTGAGATGGAGCCCGTGGCGCACTTCGGCCTAGGTGAGTCAGGGCCGGGGGCAGGGCGGGCGACGAGCCGTTGTGCCCGACAGCGGGCTCCTGGAAGTGCCTCCCGAAGCATGCTCAGTGACACAGAACTCGCAGCCCTGGCAGCTGCCAGCGCACGGTACTTCCAGACCTGGGGACAGCCGTGGCGGACACCAGCCACCCCGGCAGCCCTGCTCAGAAATGAACCTGAGCTCCCGGGG